GTGTGGGACATCATCAGCCGAAGCCTGGTCATTGATGCGGATGAAGATGACCTGGGGCAGGGAGGACACCGTCTCTCCAAGGTCACTGGAAAGTCTGGAGAGAGGTGAGGAAGCCCTCCCCCTCTGGGCGTGGGAGTGTTTCCCTGGAGCCTTTGGGTGTGGCAAGGGCCCCTTCACAGCCCACACCAACCTCATTCTCTGTCTCCTGTAGGCTAGCCTGTGGCATCATTGCTCGCTCTGCAGGCCTCTTCCAGAACCCCAAGCACACCTGCTCCTGTGACCGCCTCACCATCTGGGAAGAGCAAGGCCGGCCCCTCGCTGGAAAGGGGCGAAGGCAGGCATGTTCATTTCCTTGAATAAAATCAGACTACATTGAAATTGGATGACAGAAATCTGTAGTGCACCCAGATACCCCAGGCTCATGATTTTTCAAGCAAATCAAAGGCTGCAGATGGTTTGGCAAGGTATAATCACTGCAGGACAGGGGAGACCAGCCCAAAGTGGGACCGTCACCAAAGGGTCAAGCTGGGCAAAGCAGACAGAAGCCAGTACTGAGGGATGGAGGGACTGAAAGTCACAGTGAGGGTGGAGAATAGGCTTACAAGTCTCAAGGCAGAGGTAAAGATGGAATGATCCAAGATTAAGGAATCTCAGAACTCATGAACATGAAAGTGGAACCCGGGGCAGGAAGGTAGAGGTGGGGATGGCATGGTCACAGGTAACACCATCTCTATAAGGAGCTGAGGTGGGGGTGGGGGGAGGTCATCAGAACTGATGTCCATAAAAATCAATCCATAAACTAACCATGGATGCCCCCTTCTTAGGGTGAAAAGCCCTGTACATGCTGTCCGAGTCAGCTGGTGATGGAGAAGAGGAGGATCTATTTAGAAATGAAGGTGTTTGACAAAAGCTACCAAAACAGATTAAATTGACCTCATGTCAGTTGGCACTCAGTAAAAAGGTAACGGGTGACTCTGAGAATACCTTCTACTCTCTGTGGAAGCTGGCCCCCTACTGGTCAGTCAATTCATCTTAATCATATAAACTGAAGAAAAGGTTATAAATAGAATTGTGCTCATCTTTGTAAGGATCACTTAAAACTATGCAGTTGTTTTTACTATTCAAACTAGAAATACTTTAAAGATTAACTTTCTTTTAGAAGAAAAAGTATTTTTAACACTAAAGAATTAAAAATGTACTACAAGATCGTCCTAAAACATCCCTAAAGAGTTTATCACATCCCTTCTCCAGAAACACACACACACACACACAAATACAAAAACCTGAAAAAAAATGTATATTTTAATCTATAAAGATGTATTACAAAAATATAAGTTTTTTTTNCTAAAACATCCCTAAAGAGTTTATCACATCCCTTCTCCAGAAACACACACACACACACACACAAATACAAAAACCTGAAAAAAAATGTATATTTGAATCTATAAAGATGTATTACAAAAATATAAGTTTTTTTTCCACAGATTTAAATATGCAGTTATTTTTCTTTGTTCATTAAAAATCAATCGCATGTCAATAAACACTAGTGTTAAAGTGCAGAAAAGACCCAGTGACAAAACAAACCAAGCCAAACAATCAATGAAATAACATGATTAACAAATGAAAAAGCATTCATTAAGCACTTACAATTGTGCTAAGATCTGAGACACAAAAAGAAAACCACAAACAGTCCTGGCTCTCAAGGAGCTCACGTTCTAATAAGGAAAGATTACATGTAGAGGAAGCTTTAGCTGTTCAAGTCAGATAGAAAGGTCCCAGATCAACAATTTAAATGTTTTATTCACCACCTATGCCCCACAAACTCCCACTCAATTTTATTTAAAAGGAAAAATATTTTACCCAACTAGTATTTTATTTAGCACTTGTTATCACAGCTCTATCAGGCTGATGATTGCCAATTCCATTTTACAAAGGAGAATACTTGGAGGTTAAAATTTAAGATGATAAACTCACTGGGCTTATTAAATCTAGTCTATTGGGCCATACTCCAATTGGCATGAATCTTGCAGGAAATGATTCCAATTTTTTCTACCAAGAATTTCTTTGGCAACTGAAAACACATTCATTCATCCTTTACAATACAAGGTGTCCCAAAAGTCTTAGTGTAGGGTTAATCTATTAAAGCTTAACACTGCACTAAGACTTTGGGGGCATCCTGTATTCAAATGTGTAACTTTCCTTTACAAGTACTCTCCAAAGGAACTGCATTCACAAAAAGCAACAATCTCTCCAAGTTTCTCCTTCCATTCTACTTGAGATCTCTGGTTTAAACTGAGTTTTGTGACCCAAACTGGAGCTATTTGGGAGTGATAAAAACGCTCAAAGCTTAAGTTAAAACATTTCAAAGACACTTTAGTGGCCCATATGATGGGCATAAATCACAGAAACCCATCATCGATATTACCCGTTACTGGGATTTGATTTTCTTGGCCAACTGTCTCAACTGATAATGAGAAATTATCTGAACTAGTATGTAACAGTTAATAAAAAGAAAGAGCAAACCGGCTAACCAAATGAGCAAAAAGGTGTTTTTCCCTCGGAACTCAAGGAAATAAGCAGGAGCCAGCCATAAAGCCTGTCCCATAAACCACAGCCCAAGGAGGAGAACAGCTCTCTTCCAGGACATCCTTATCTGTGGCATCACAAGCGGTAATAAACAGAGGTACCATAAAAAATACTGGGAAGTGCAGACCTTATTAAAACTCACAAAAATGGCAGTGTGAAGGAAACAACAGAAGGCAAGGTCCCTATAATAAGCAAAAGACACAACTACAAGTAACAACAATTGTGGCAGAAACGCTGCCAGTCCCAGTGAAAAACTCCATTTGCTCTCTGCTGTCAGATAAAGCATGTAGAAGTAAGGGGAAAAATTGTGTCGGATGTCCCGTCGGGTTAGGTGATAGAGATAAGTGTGCTCCAAAAATTCCCAACCGTATTTGTAATAAAATCCTAAGCCCAGGGCAAAAAACGTGAGTCCAGCAACCACCCCAAAAAGCAGCACATCCCTATTCCCCAGCCCCCTGGCCAGCCCCCAGACTCGAGCCTGGAGGCATTTCTTGGAGCTGTCCTCCGCCTCGCCGGGCGCAATCTGCAAATAGAGGGCTATGGGGAGGACGTAGGTCACCGGGTACAATTTCATGTGCACCGCCAGGCCGTAGACTACCGCAGCCCACCCCACGCTCCTCCTCTGCAGGAGGTACAAGGCGCTTAGCACCAGGGCAGCGATGACCGACTCGGCGTTGCCCCGGCTGGACACCACCAGGGGCAGCGGGTTGAGCAGCCACCAGGCGCAGGAGCCGCAGGCCTGGCGGGGGCTCAGGTCGGTGAGGAGCAGCAGACGCAGCATCAGGAAGCCGGCCAGCAGGTCGCAGCTGACGAAGAGAAACTTGCCGAAGAGCTCGGTGAGGCAGACGTTGGGCGTGAGGAGCCAGGCCAGCAGCGGCGTGTAGCGGTACGTGGCTCGCTCGTAGGGGGAGCGGCCCTCCGTCACCAAGCGCGCCGCGTCCGTGAACACCCGGTAGTCGATGTCCGTGAACTTCACCACCAGGGTCCGGTCCTGGTAGAGGCCGTAGAAGACCAGAGCAACGCGAGCCGCCAGGGCGAGGCCGAACACGGCGGCGGGCCCGCCCCAGGACCCAGCGAAGCGCCTCGCCTTCATCCTCGGCAGCCCCGACGCCTCACTAGACCGTTGGAGCTGCGCTCGTTTCGGCACCGGCCTCGCACCGCGGGCATAGTTATTGGCGCACGACAGCACAGCAGGGCAGAGGTCCCACAAGAGCCGCTTCCGGGGAGGTAATCCCTCCCCTAGGACTTACTTCCGGTACCGGCCTAGCGCTGTTGATTGGTTCACCTGCCTCTCGCGCCCGGCCCTCTTTCCAGGGAAAGGACAGGACTTCCTGTCCTGTGGGTGAGCCGCGTTCTCTTTCAAAGGAGCCAGGTGGGAAGCCCTCCCTCTTGCCCTCCGAAGCGAGAAGGGGCGTGGTCTGCGTGTGGGCGTGGCGAGGGCAAGATGAAGCTTGAATTCCCGGCGCTGGTAGGCCCGTGTTAGAACCGCCCGCCCAGTGAGATTGGTGAGCCTCTGACTTCGAAAGATGGTGAAAAAAGGGATTGGAGGAGGGTAGATGTTGTCGTGATTTTAAAAAAAAAATGGAAGAGAGACTTTACTCTGCAAACCTGGGGCCAGTGAGCTTGACTTGTGGACTAAATTATAAAAAGGATGGTTATTGAACATCAAGGAAGGAGCTGTGATCTCCTAGATCCAGCGTGGCGTCATCAGGAACCGACTTAATATAAGTAACGAATAACAGCTAGCATTTAAGTGGCATTTTAAAGCTTACAAAGCGTTTACAAATATTATCTCATTTGATCCTCATTTTGTCAAGTTTACTAAACCGGAAAAATGGGGAAATGCTGCAGTTAACGGATTACCTGCTGTCACAGAATCCTAGACTTAGACCCTAAAGGGCTTTTATTTCAGGGGTTCTTGCCTTTTTATGTATCACAGTCGCCTTTGGCAGACTGATGAAGCCTGTGGACCCCTTCTCAGAATAATGTTTTTAAATGCACAAAATAAAATAGAGGATTATAAAGGAAACTGATTATATTGAAATAATTATTAAAAATACATTTTTAAAAAAATTCATGGACCCCAGGTTAAGAACCCCTGAAAACTCAACCCTTTTATTTTACAGGTAAGGAAACTGAAGCTCAAAGGTGAAGTAACTTGCCAGGGTCTCACAAGTAGAACATGTAGGAAACAGAATTTTAACCCAGACCCTCTGGTTCTGAATCTATGCTCTTTCTACTGTTACCAGCTAGCTTTATTTAGCAAGTCTCTGGATTAAAGAAATCTTGTGCTATTTTTGTGCGTAAAAATGAAAAAAAAAAGTGGGCTAAATCATAGTAGAATTGAGTAGTTTATGAAGTGCTTGAACAGTAGCCAAACAGTAGCCAATAGTTGGAGATCAATTTTTAAGGTCTCCAGAGCAGTAGCCTTTGGGATCTGTGCTTGGCCCTGTGATTTTTTTACATCATGACATGGATAAAAACACAGATAGCATACCTATCATGGGGCAGCTAGATGGCATAGTGAAATGAGTGCTGGAGCACCAAGACCCTGACAAATGACTTAACCTGTTTGCCTCAATTTCCTTAACTGTAAAAATGGAGATAACAATAGCCCCTACCTTACAGAGTTGTGAGGATTAAATGAGATACTATTTGTAAAGCACTTAGCACATTACAGGCACTATATAAATGCTAGCTATGATCAGGTTTATATATGGCTAACATATAGCACCTACTATGTGCCAGGCACTGTGCTAAACACTTTACAAATATTATAATGTCCAGGAGCGGGGTGATGGTTTCACTGTACTCTAGCTTGTTCAGATATCTGGAGTATTGTGTTCAGATTGATGTTGTTTGTCCTTTGTTCTCAAACAGGACCATGACATCAGGAAGGTGATATCATGAATTGCAAGTGAATTGGATTTAAGTGAGAGAAGGCTGTGCAGTCACCCCTCATTTTCTCCTCTGGAGCCATCTGGGTCCAGTGGCAGGATATAGATCAGGATAACCAGAGATGGTCTCAGATGCAGTGGGAGACTATGGCCTTTTTAAGCTAAGGCCTTTAATAGGTCTCAGTTTGACTGAGGCAATGTCCATTCAGTGATTAAGGCTAGGTAAGAAATGAGGCAAATAATGGCCTCTTTTACCTAGTCAAAAAAAAAAAAAAGTAAAGTGAATGAATGAAGATGATGAATAATAAAACATTCAGTAAGTGCTTGTTAAGTGCCTACTGTGTGCTAGGCACTCTGCTAAGTGCTGGGGTTACAACTACAAGAGGGTCCCCTTTCTTCAAGGAGCTTACATTCTAATGAAGAAAGACACACCTTCAATGTGGGAGATAGAAAAGGAATCTGTGGAGGGAAGAAGTTGTTGGCTAAAGTAGAGATGGCATAGTTTGAAAGTACTTCCCAAACTTTAAAATGCCATATAAATGTCAGCTTTTATTAATCTGAATGCCA